ACACAGACACACACACAAACACACACACACACACACACAGACACACACACACACACAGACAACCTCCCGTCAATATGCGTTTTTTGCATTGCATTACTGCAAAAAACGCATAAAAAGCCTGATTTCGTGAGACAAACATCCCCTGTCAATCCAAAACTGCAGTAATAGTGTTAATCCCGAGCTTAGCGGCGGAAAAAAGGGGCAGAGAGGGAGGAGGGGAGTGAGCTGATTTGACTTGGTGCTTGATTGAGGTACAAACCGAAGAAAGGCGGCATCGTGCAGTAAGAGAAGGGGAGGCACGGGGAAGCTTCCGATACAGAACCGTATGGGAGTGTGCTGTGTACTGCTGCATTATCATATCCTGGTATTGGTGCTGATAATAAGCCAGGCTGATGGTTGATGGTAGTCGGCGGGAAACGATTCGGTGGAGCGGAATAGTGCCGGTCCAGATTCGGATGAGTGCTGCAGTCCGTTCGTGCTGAAGTCAGTACCGAGAGCAGAGGAGCGGCAGTCTGTTGCGTCTGCTCTTCACGATGAGTGCTTAAAATCGTTTTCACCATTTTCTAAAATTTTTCAGCTTCATTTTGAATAATCTGATATTAAGGAGCTATGCTAGTGAACTGAAACAAAATACCTTTTCATCGGAGAGTTTCGTCTTTTCGGAATTTGGAATAATCAAGCTATGTGTGCGAACAACTGCCGCATGGGAGGCACGTCCGGAAGAAGGAACTGTAGCTGAACCTGAATGAGAAAAGTCTACTTTAGTGGATGCTAAAAAAATCCAGTACTTTACATGAGATGTGTCACTCTTAACCCTATCTGATCCTTTCTAGGTGAATTCTGTACTACTGAGATTCAGTTTATTCAGTTTTTCAAGCAATTTAATCAATGATTTTATACGCGGCTTAAAAATAACCAGTCGGTCGCATAGGTCTTAAAAGTGCTCACTCGCTCGCTCGCCATCAAAAACAATTACTCACTCGTTCAGGTCTTAAAATGGTCACTCGCTCCCCCAGGTTTAAAACTGGCCATTTGCCAATTTAGACTTAAAAGTAATATTTCGAGATGTTTAACTTAACAGATACGGATCAAGACAATTTGTAAAAGGAACAAACGAGCAGTAGCAAACGGGTCCTGTTGCTTCTCTTTGAATAAGCGATCAGTTGCGGTGACGCGCACTCCATTCGGTCGTTCCGGATGGTAATATCTGTGACAGGTTAGCAATTGCTTTACCCAATAGTAAAATTTCTTACTTTCAGTGCAAAAGAATTACAGAATTTAAAAGTGGTTATCATATTTCATACTTGCATTTATTCCCGTATGTGCATTTGCGAGCGTATGGACATAGCTGTGTCGATATTGCACGGACCTCTCTGGACAGAAATTGCGCCAGCGTAGGCCCATGTCTTCCGAGTGGATCATCAGGCGGCATAAACCTTGCAAACAAACAGGCCGAAAAATTAGAGGATGAAAACAGTAAGAATTGACAGGGCTTTTTTTTCCGGCCGTCTAATATTCAAAAACTGTTCCGGTTATCAGAATATCCCATATTAGTAATGTTACTGAGACACGCCAAGCGCAGTTGTGCCAAGCCTTTCGATTTTGGGCCGCATAATTCCACTCAGTACCAACCGCCTGTTCGATGTATGTGTGCCACGTTTTCTGGGGTTATTCGAGTAGACGTTTTTTTTTCTCGCAGATACCACTCAATAATAAGCTATGCCTACCCGCTGTGACAAGGGCAGCTGATATAGTATAATATTTTTGGCGAAAAAGAGGATGTTCAGCGCAATTACAAAACACCGAATTATCGATGTGGGGCTAAACAAATTCTGTTCAAAACACTCTCTGAACTCTTGAACTGTGCTTTTCGTATGCTCAAGCTGCAAACAATATCAAGCAAACTAAGGCCAAGCTTAGGTACACTGGTATGTGGTGCATCCCGGTAGCGTCCCTAACATCGAATACCCACTCGACAGCCCTGACCGTCTTCTTTATTATTACATAACTAGTAAAGTTATAGTATCAGATGTATCTATTCGCGATAAACTTAAAACAATAAATTAAAAAATAGCAATCATCGCAATTAAGCAGGCTGTAAAATGTGGGGGAAAAAAGAAAAAGCATACCTGCCATCAACAAATGAATACATTAAAAGTCTTTCATTGACAAGTTTCCGATACCGTGGATTTTCCTTGATCAAATCGCGATACTCATCGTTACTCACAATCACTGCATCCTTCTCTTCCGCCGTCTTCAGGATGTACCGATCATCGTGACACACAATCCGACGACCGTTGATACGGCGCGATGGTGTCCACACCTACAAATACCAAGTATTAAAAACTATTTTCTCGCACCGATGCTAGACTTTACTATTTGCATATGAAATAATGTACAAATAAGGCAAAAATGCGCCAAATTTTTTTGGCAAATAATGTAAAAACAAAGAACAGCAAAACTGTACAGGACAAAGACTTATTCAAAATATGCAACAGCAGAATTCACGGAATCCCGTTACTATCACACTCTTATTTCTTACATGCACTACCCTTATTTGTTAGGAACAGTACGCTTTTTTCTTTACTAAACACAGACTCTTACTTGCTAAATAGAGTTTCTTTACTTCTCAAACAAACCCTCCATCCTTGCAAGGTGCCGAAAATAAAGATCTGAACGATAGACGAGTGGTCCTCACCAGAACATTTTCGGCTTCTAGTTCGAAAAGTATGTGCTGATCGGTGATCGGGCAATCCGATCGAGCCGCTTCTCGCCGGAAGTGCGGTACGAAAACGATTATGTCTGTATGTCCACGACTGCGGAAAAAGTTAACGCATTCGCGGATACCTCTGCACGAAAATACTTCTTTGCGCCCATGCCTAAAGCGGCATCAGAATGAAATGCACTAATGCGTCTATCGTCATTCACGCATGGCAAAATTTGCAGAAGCAGTACCTTCGCTCCTCGCAAAAAATGAATATTGAGCGGAAAAACGAGCTTTCTCTGTCTGTTTATAGCTAAGGAATGAAAGACAGACTGATTTCCAGTGTGGCCCAACGGAACATATGATATTTAGATCGATCCCATTTCTTTGATCGAAATATTTTGACTTTGACTGTCTTAAATGAGCAGAGCTGCACACACTAAACGATGTTTTGGCACTCAGTCGCTCTTAGACATGGAATAATGTATTCAGCTAATAAGTGGTGTTCGCGTGTTTAGTTCATAAGTGCTGCACACGAGGAAGAAAATGACCGTTCGAAAAATGCCCGAAGGAATGGTGCATACAGCAGAAGAGCTAATACATCCAGGTTAGGATAAAGTCTAGCTAAGGTGTCACTCGAAATGTATTTTCATCTCAGCAGCATCAAAGCTTCACAGCAATAGTCCTGGTAATCCTGGGACCTTGCTGCTCAAGGAAAAAAACGTTCAATTGCAAGTACTGTTAGTACCTAAGTGTGAAAAACATTCAGTGAAAATGCTTATGATAGTGATATTACAACATTATCTTCAGGGCGCTAGCTGAAGGTATGCAGCTCAAGCTCGAAAAATTTGGCTTAGCTGCGCCCGAAGTTCAGGAGCATCCCAGTAACATCACTAACTTGAATTCCTCACATCGTTTGTCTTTTGTGCATTTTAGTGTTTTTCTTGAAGTAAATGACAGCTATTTCTGAGTAGTGTTTTGACGCCCTGAATAATATGCTAGAACTGGCTTTGGGGAAGTCAACGGCTTCTAGTTTTGTATATAACTGCTCAATAATGATTTACTTAAACAGAATTGTTGTAGTGATGACTTGTGAAGTACAAGTGCTCAACAAACAAATCCGCAGCCACTTACAATGTTATGCTTACACTGCGTTTCTGCTACCACACTTGTTCCGTAACAATCGCTAGTTTACTCTTTCACGGAACAAAGAGCTTGTTCCAAGTGAAGAAATCTCAGATCAATCAGATAGAAATTTCAAGTATTTCCTTCCCGAAGTATTCAGAAAAATTAGAAAATCTTCGATTTTCCGATTTTTCTAGATATTTTAGGAAGAAAATATGTTAAAAAAAAAAAAA